CCACCATCCATTAGCTATTCTTCCTGATGCTCTCCCTCCTCCCACCACCCCCAGAGGCCCCATTGTGTGTCATTCCCTGCTATGTGTCCACGTGTTCTCATCATTCAGCTTTCACTTATAAGTGATAACACAGATTCTTTTCTTTTCTTTTTTTTTTTTTGAGATGGAGTTTCGTTCTTGTTACCCAGGCTGGAGTGCAATGGCGCGATCTAAGCTCACTGCAACCTCCGCCTCCTGGGTTCAGGCAATTCTCCTGCCTCAGCCTCCTGAGTAGCTGGGATTACAGGCACGCGCCACCATGCCCAGCTAATTTTTTGTATTTTTAGTAGTGACGGGGTTTCACCTTGTTCACCTGGATGGTCTCGATCTCTTGACCTCGTGATACACCCGCCTCGGCCTCCCAAAGTGCTGGGATTACAGCCTTGAGCCACCGCGCCCGGCCCAATACAGATTATTTTCAAAGATGCTTTGATGATATTTTTTGTGTAAGAAAGTTTGGGTGTGTGTATCTAATGCATATTGTTTGAATTTGCCAGAAGAAAACAGGAAGCATGAAAGAAAGAAACAATAAAAGTGGTTCACTATAGGGGATAGGGATTGGAGTAGGAAAAAAATTATCTAGTATTATGTACTATTTGGAATTTACTATATTACACATTTTAAAAATGAATGGTGGCCAGCGAAGTGGCTCATGCCTGTCGTCTCAGTACTTTGGGAGGCCAAGATGGGTGAATCATTTAAGGTCAGATGTTCGTGACTAGCCTGTCCAACATGGTCAAACCCTGTCTCTACTGAAAATACAAAAATTAGCTGGGCGTGGTGTTGTACACCTGTAATCCCAGCTACTCGGGAGGCTGAGGCAGGAGAATCACTTGAGTCCGGAGGTGGGGGTTGCAGTGAGCCAAGATTGTGCCACTGTACTCCAGACTGGGTGACAGAGCAAGATTCTGTATTCAATAAATAAATTTAAAAGTAAATAAATAATTAAAAATTTTAAAAAGTGAATGACATTTTAAACTGTTTTGTAGTCACTTGGATGAGTAAGCAGAGATCCAAAGAGCCTTCAGGTTCAATAAGAACGAACCATGTCATAACAACGTCCTGTTCTCCTTTGGGAAGGTATCTGGATAGAGAGCTCAGTGGGCTGCAGTAAATCCAGTATATGTGGACTTTGGCCAGCTGTTTGGATAAGGACACTCACCAGACATATGTCAGCAAAATAGAGAGTCTAGGCTGGATGCTAATACAGTTAGATATAATTGCTGCTGATTATAAAGGTTTCTGATAAGTGGTTTGATATTAATCTGGAGGAAACTTTCAAAAAAGAAAGCATTGTGACTTATATTAACTTTATGTTATTTTACATTTAACAAATAACTTGATTAAAGAAATAGAAAATACATTGATCAATTATGTACCTTTGTAAAGCTGGAAGATGTAATAACTGCATTGAGTCATAGAATCAGGCTCTAAAATGGTTCTTACAAATTGGAGCAGTGGACTGATTCTAATGAAATGAAATAAGGTAAAATCATACACTTGAAATTTTATTCTAATTAATTTTACAAGCATAGTTTTCCCTGAAAATCACATTTTGACTAATACTCATCATAATTCCAGTACTCTAAATAATAGTTGTAGGCAAGGGCAGCAAAGCATCTTTCTCTCATCTTGCCTTTTTCTGAGTAAGCAGGTTGTAGCAGAGGTATTACCTATGTGGTTCCATTCTATACCTCTACATCCATTTCTGTATTGTAAGCCTGGGGCTGGTCTTTTAACCAAAATCAGAGGACAGCTTGGCACACTCTGGCCTGTTGCTGCTGAGAACAGGGCAGGAGCTACTGCCAGTGTACCTTAAATGTGTCAGTCTAAACTTGTGGTAAGATTTTCTCTTGGCCTTTTCTATATTTCACAGCCATTCAAACAGATCTTCTCCATCAGAGTTATAAACTAGATCCAAGATCTGAGATATTGCTGCGTCATCAGGTGATTAAAGCCAAATGCTATTGTCTCTCTCCAAAGAGGGGGTCTTTTCTGCTTAGACATAGCTCAGGATCTCTGCAGAAGACAAAAGGAACAGCAATTTGGACTTGAACTGTTTAGCAAACATCTTGACAAACTGCAGGGTGCCATCTGCAGATGTTAATTTTACAGTTTTGATCCTTTAGTGCCTCTTTACCTCCTATTGGCTCGTGTTAATCTATCTGTATTACTGTAACAAAATACCTGAGACCTGGATAATTTATAAAGATCAGAAATTTATTTTCTTATTGTTCTAGAGGGTAAGAAGCCCAAGATCATCAGGGTGCTGACAGGTTAAGTGTCTGGTAAAGGCCTTGTCTCTGCTTTCAAGATGGTGCCATGAGTGCTGCTTTCTCTGGAGGGAATGCTTTGTCTTTACATGGTGGAAGGCAGAAGGACTAAAGAGCCTAGTTAGTTCCCTCTAGCCCTGTTATAAAATTGCTTATCCCATTCATGAGGGTTCTACCCTCATGATTTAATCACCTCCTAAAAGCCTCACCGCTTAATACTATTGCATATGGGATTTAAAGTTGGTTTATTTGTTTGTTTGTTTGTTTGTTTTTTGAGATGCAGTCTCACTTCATCACCCAGGCTGCAGTGCAGTGGTGTGGTTTTGACTTAGTGCAACTGCTGCCTCCCAGGTTCAAGCGTTTTCTGTTGCCTTAGCCTCCCCTGTAGCTGGGGCTACAGGCATGTGCCACCGCACCTGGATAATTTTTGTATTTTTAGTAGAGATGTAGTTTCATTATGTTGGCCAGGCTGGTCTCGAACTCCTGACCTCGATCTGCCTGCCTTGGCCTCCCAAAATACTGGGATTACAGGTGTGAGCTACCGCACCTGACCTGGGATTTAAGTTTTAACATGAATTTTGGAGGGGACACACACCTTCAAACCATAGCATGATTCTACCAATACTTTTTTCTTTCTTCCAGTTGCTTTGTTATTCTTAGGATGAAACCAACTCAGATATAGAGATGTGAGTCTTTCATTCATCTTTGTGAATAATTTGGAAGATATGATTTGCTTTATTTTGGTTTCAAGGAACTTCTCTCCAGTTCTTACTACCTTCAGGAATGTATAAATGGAAATGAGTTCTAGATGTGTTGATGATGAGATGGAAAAGCAGAAGGAAGGGTAGGCCACTAAAATGTGAGCCCCACAATCACTCTGTTTGGGAAAAACTTGAATTCTAGAGACTGCATGTCAGATTCATCATCTCCCTTCTCTATCTAGAGCAGATGCTGTACATCTTTTGTCTCATCAAGCTTCTTTGTCATTCCTATACATTTAGGAAATGACTTGTTCTCTACTGAAAATAAAACAACAGGTCTGAACTCACTTGAATTCTCTTTTTCTTCCGCCTTAAACCGACATCCACAACCATCCTCATCTCCTTCCTGCTTGCCAGGGGGAAAAAAAAGTTATTCTAAGACCAGTCCCTTGAACAGTACTCTTAATCTCACCCTTCTATTTTCAGGACTTTTTCTGTCAATTATCATCATCCTCTCCTGTATCTTAAAGCTCTCTTCTCTTGGCTCCTTCCTCTCTCTGGTGCTGTTTTCTCCCATCCTAAACACCCTTTCTCTCAGTGCTGCTGCCATAGGCACAAATGTTCTGCAATAGTAATCTGTAGAACCTGCCTCAACTTGCCCAACTCCCTTTCTTTGCAAGTCCAGTTTCATTCTCACCACCATCCCATCCGTTCTCTGAAACTACTCTCGAATAAGTCTCCAGTGACTTGCATCTGCTAATTCCAAAGCCTTTCTATTCTGTCTGCCCTGCGTTGCATCTACCATTTCTGAGGCAATAGGTATTCACAATCCATCACTCAGAAGAAGGCTCTAAAGAGTTTTAACTTTGACGCCCAGGGTTCAGGTGTGTTCACTTCATACCATGGTGGTTTCTCTTGTTTTGTTATAAAATTTGTTTTCATGTTTAAACAGCTGAATCTCTAATTAGACTGGTGATAGTTTCTGTTCTCACAGTCCAAATTGCCAAGTTTGTATGGTGATTCTCATGAGGCCACATGTTTTCTACTGCTTCCCTGATCTTTTTGAAACAAAGCAAAACAATTTATTAAAACTAGTTAAAAAATAAAACTTTACCTTGCATTTGTGCAAAAATCATATCACCCAATTTGTCTTCTTTTTCTTTCCTCAACTTAGTTCATACTTTGGTTTTGAACATCATCAGTACAAAGACCTGCCTCTCTGGAGATGTTGAAAGGACTATACCAAAATGTAAGGCCACTTCCAGTGCCCAGATGGGTCCTGACACGTAGGAGGTGCTCATCAGATGTTGGTTGGATGATTGATTTCATCCAAGCAGCCATAAGAGATTACATGCAGTTTCAACTGAAAAGCCGGAAACTTGCCCATCTTATATCCCAGTTGGTTGGCTTGAAAGGCTTAATTATGAGCAAAATGCTTAGGTCTAGATGCTATTGTAGTCCCTTCAAGACTTTGTAAATAGCCTTTGTGTGTGTGTGTGTGTGTGTGTGTGTGTGTATTTCCCAAAGGGAGAAAGCAGTACGAACTATTTAAAAATCAGATTGAATTCATTTTGCCCCTAAAACCAGGAAAAACATCAATTTTCTTAATTAGAAGTTCACACATTTAAGTAGTTCATATGTTCTCTCTATTCTTTACCCCCTGCAGTATTTCTGGAGAGGGGAGTCTTCGCTTCTAGTTTATGTGGAGCATTGATGCAGTAAGCAAGTGGACACTTTGTGCATTTGACTCTAGAGTTTAGGTTCTGGAGTGTGCTATGGTTTAGTAGGGTTATGGAATTGCTATTGAAGATCTCGTTGTGAATCTCAGGGACCACTGGAAACCTGTTCTTGACCCTGCTCCTTAGTCTTCTCTCTCAACACTGTATCATCTCTGTATTTAAATTATCTGTGCTAATGGAACTGACTGGCTAATTCTGTCCCATTGGCATCTGAAACTAACAATGTATTTCTCATCTCTCATTCACAGAGGGACCTGTCAGGGCACAAGAATATTGTGGGTTACATTGATTCTAGTATCAACAATGTGAGTAGCGGTGATGTATGGGAAGTGCTCATTCTGATGGACTTCTGTAGAGGTATGTATATGAACCATACCCTTAACCTGTCATTTCTCTAGCATTTTGATTGTCAAGGTTGGGGGGCATCATTTCACTTAATGTGCACTGTACCGTATGGTATGTTCTGGTTTTACAGATGAGAAAACTAAGATTAAAAAGATACAGTCTGCTGTCAACTCTTGGTTATTCTTATATATAGAATAAGAATTTAAAAATCTTAGTTTTAATCTTAATCTTTTTAATAAGATTAAAAAGATACAGTCTGCTGTCAACTTGTGTCAATGGCACAAACAATTGAAAGTGTAGATAATGTAAAACTCCATTTTCATTGGGTTTAGGAAGATTTGGTATTTGTATATAAATGAGAATGTGTAAGAATGAGAATGAATATGTTCTTTGTGATGCTTTATAACAAATGATGAAGGCACATAATAAAGACCCAGCTCCAGATGGATGAAAGAAACAGTGCACCTTCCCCAACTCCCTCACTTGTGTGTTCTCTTTCCCACCCATGCCATCATTCTTGTGTTATGGGGTAAAAGAATCCTTTTCGTCTAATGGAAGTGACCCTCGTGTCCTTACTCTAAAGCTATAATTCCTAGTAAGGTGAGACTATATTCAAATGATGCAGCTGTTAACAGTGGAGTAAAGTCATTGAAAGCTTGAAATTTCAAAAAACATTTATTTTGGGAAATTCAGACTGCAGCATGATTTTTTTCAGAGTTGATTGCATTTTATATAACCATTGCTTGGAGGTTTGGCTTAGGTCCATGCCTTACTATTTGGTGCTGTGTTTTGTACTCACCCTTAGTTCCGTTAACATTTTCCCTATGCTTAAGATACTATCCGTAAATTAAATATGTTGATAATTGCAAAAGTGTGATGTTAACCAGTAATTTCAGCCCTTACTGTATTAGCTGTTTACCTAATTTAAAGTATTACCAAATGTGAACTTAACTATTTGTTTCCTCCTGCTCGTTCCTTTTTTGGATACTGAAATGTTTAGAGATCAGGCAGTAGGAGCATCCAGGCAACTGGATAATTTTGTAAGTAAAGTCATCAATCTTTTGGTCCTGGAGATTAATTGTTGGTGTACCATTTCTGAAGGCCAAGCAGTAACTAGTGAAGCCAGAGAGACTAAGCTGTTTCTGAAGTTCAGACTATCAAACCATCTTCTTCCTGTTCTCTGGACCTATTGTGCCATCCGATTCTTACTAGAAGATATGGCAAGTTGAGGCTGTGGCCATATCTCATACACAACAATCACAGTATAACCAGGCAACTACAACAGGACCATATTGTCAGTTCTACTCATCTTGAAGACATAATGAGGGCAGCTCACATCTGGGGTGCTTTATAAAATAAAGAAACTGTTTTTGATGCATTGGAGGAGACACTGAATCCTAAGAAAACAAATCCCAAATCCCGAGCTGGGAGTCCAGACAGCTAGGTTTTAATCCTGGATCAGTCAGTGGTCAGCTCTGTTACTTTAGTCCAGACCACTTCTCTCCGGACAGCCATTCATTCTCTTAGACTAACTGACAGGTCTGAATGTTTATATCTCTCCTTTGCCCTGTACGTACCCCTCAGGTGGCCAGGTGGTAAACCTGATGAACCAGCGCCTGCAAACAGGCTTTACAGAGAATGAAGTGCTCCAGATATTTTGTGATACCTGTGAAGCTGTTGCCCGCCTGCATCAGTGCAAAACCCCTATTATCCACCGGGACCTGAAGGTACAGACCACACTCTTTCATTAAGTGCATTCTTACCGAGTGTTTTCTGTCTGCCCCAGGGATGGAGGAGATACTGTGGGGTTAGGAGAGAAATTTAAGGTATGGTCCCTGTTTCTATGCTTATCTTCTGCCTGAGGAGAGAAAATATAAAGGAAAAAGTACAGTATAGGTATAAGTTTTATTACTTAAGTAGCCTCCAGAAATTCTTCATAATTATCAAATGCCTGAGCCTGTGTTGTTTTTGTTTTTCCTGATATACTCCCCCCACTTTTCCAGGATTGTGAAAAATAATACTTTTAATTTAAATACTTAGTAAACAATGATGCTTTGTTTTTAAAGTCTTATTTTATATTTTGCAAAATCCACTAATTGATTTTTTTAAAACTGTCCTAAGTGCCATCACCATGCACCATTCCTTTCACATTGCAGTCACTTGACAGTGTGTGTTGAATGGAATTGGCACCTTGTTACGGTTCAACTTAGCATGTATTGAGCACCAATTGTGTGCCACGTACTCTACTACATCTTATGTACAGTGTCTCTTCAGAGGGAGACATTCTCTGTTACATTTTATAGTTGAGGAAACTAAAGGCCAGAATTTGAATCCAGCCCTTTAGATTCTAAATTACAATTTCTTTTCATTCTACCTGTGTTTCAGGAAGCATGCTTCATAGCTAATAACTGGAATCACTGTGCCATCACCACGCACTGGATGCACTGTGCATTTCATATTGTAGTCTTATTTCATATTTTGCAAAATCCACTAATTGATTTTTTTTAATTGTCCTAATTGCCATTACCATCCACCATGCCTTTCATATTGTAGTCACTTGACAGTGTTTGTTGAATGCAATTGGCACCATGTTAGGGTCGGCCTCCCCTAGCATGCTTGTTAAATGCAGGCTGCTGAGTTTCACACTGAATCACTTGGGCTAAAATTTTGATAGTGATGTCAGGGAACCCCGAGAAGCCATAGCTTAAACAAACACCAGGTGGTTTTTGTATACTCTACAAGTTTAGACTAAAGCAGCATACTTGCATTTCTTTTATTTCTTAACTTTTTTAAAAAAATGAGACATAATTTACCTATTATAAAATTTAGTGCTTTAAAGTATATAATTCAGGCCAGCAGTGGTGGCTCACACCTATAATTCCAGCACTTTGGGAGGCCAAGGCAGGCAGATCACCTGAGGTCAGGAGTTTGAGTCCAGCCTGGCCAACATGGTGAAACCCCATCTCTACTAAAAATATGAAAATTAGCTGGGCGTGGTGGCACAGGCCTATAGTCCCAGCTACCTGGGAGGAACACGTTGCAGTGAGTGGAGATAATGCCAGTGCACTCCAGCCTGAGCAACAGAGAGAGACTCTGCCAAAAAAAAAAAAAAAAAAAATGCAATTCAGTTTTTAGTATACTCATAAAGTTGTGTAACCATCACTACCATCTAATTCCAGAACATTTCATTATCCCCAGTAGAAACCCTGCATCCATTCCCCTCTCTTTGCCCTCTCCCCTTGCAACCCCCAATGTACTTTCTGTCTCTATATTTTCGTGTTCTGGACATTTTATATAAATGGAACCATAATATATGACCCCTTCTGTCTGACTTTTTCCCTTAGCATAATGTTTTCAGGGTTCATCAATGTTGTAGTATGTATCAGTACTTCACTTTTGTAGTTTCATAATATTCTGTTGTATGGATGTATCACATTTTGTTTATCCATTCATTCACTGATGAACATTTGAGTTGTTTTCACTTTTTGGCTATTATGAATAGTAACGCTGCTATGAACGTTCATGTACCAGTTTTTGTGTGGACATATGTTTTGAATTTTTCTAGGTATATACCTAGGGCTAGATTGCTGGATCATATAGTAACTCTGTGTTTAATTTTTTGAGGAACCTTCAAACTGTTTTCCAAAGTAGCTATGCTGTTTCACACCCATCAGCAATACATGAAGGTTTCAGTTTCTCCGCATCTTTACCAACACTAGTTATTGTCTTTTTTTATTTTAACCATCCTAGTGGATATGAAGTGGTATGTCCTGGCATTTCTGTACTAAGGCAGTTAGCTTACGGGAGAATAAGTATATACCTCTCAGCCTTAGACAGCTTTCTCGAGTGTACCTCTGCCCACAGTCAGCCCTTTTTTTCTGAGTAGAAATAGAGGAATGTGGCTGGGTGCGTTGGCTCACACCTGAAATCCCAACACTTTGGGAGGCTGAGGCAGGTGGATCGCCTGAGGTCAGGAGTTCAAGACCAGCCTGGCTAACGTGGCAAAACCCATCCCTACTAAATACAAAAAATTAGCTGGACGTGATGGCTGGTGCCTGTAATCCCAGCTACTTGGGAGGGTGAGACAAGAACTGCTTGAACCCAGGAGGTGGGGGTTGCAGTGAGCCGAGATTGGCCACTGCACTCTCTAGTCTGGGTGACAGAGCAAGACTCTGTCTCAAAAAAAAAAAAAAAAAAAAGGTGGGGTGGGGGCAGGGAATACATATTGTTGAATATTTATTACAAGCTTAGCATAGTATGAGTACCTAGTTCCGTGGGCATGGGACAGAGATAACATTGTTCCTACCCTCAAGATGTTCAAAGTATTGTTAGTAAGATATCAATGAAATATTTAGATTGAAATAGATGAAATATAAAACTCTGTAGAAGAAAATGATGAATAGAAGATAATCAAGGGATTTAATATATGGCTAGATAGTGGGATCAGGCAATGGTGATTGAAATTCTCTAGAAAAGCGGGATTTTGAAGGCCTGATAGGAAATGAGTGGTCACAGAGGGGATGAAGAACATTCTGGACAGAGAGCAGAGCCAGAGGGCTGCCTGCAGAAGGGAACAGCAAGGTGTGTGGGGATGAGAAGGTAGGTCAGGGCCCCAGTATGTGGCCAGTTGCAGACCAGGCTAGAGTGACCACAGCATTGCTTTGAATATGTGTTGACACTATTCCTAGTTGCCTTTATCAATGAGTAAAATTTTTCTTTAAACCCTGTTAGCATGTATTTCAGAACAGGCAGTGGTACCAAATCTTAAAGACCTGACCCCTGCCCTTTCTGCCTGCCTTGGAGAAGAGTGTGAGAAGCATAGAAATAGGAGAGAAATGTTGCTGGAGGGCACTGCTCTTATGATCCATGTGACCTTGTACCTCTGTGTAGCCCGTTCTGCACCCCTTCCATGTTGAATGGGGTTAGAGTTCATCTGTGAACTCTGATTCTGCACCACTGTGTGACTGATACTGACAGAATTACAAGTGCTGTGAGAAGTGAGCATAGGCAGCTTCCTCCATCTTGCCAAATGCAGAGGACATTTTCCAATCCCTGTCTTCTTCTCCCTGTGGCCTCTGGCTCCTTTGGGACTGTCTCTCCCTTGACCTCTGTAACAGTGTCTTCTCCCGGCTCCTTTTTCCCAGGCTCCTTGGCTTTCTTCTCAAATTGCTAGCCTCTCCAAGCCTAGTTTTGTCATCTATAAAGTGGAGCTAACAGCACCTGCTCTGTTAGGGTGGTGATAAGGTTGAATGAGGTAGTGTGTGTCAGTCTCTAGGCACATCCTGGCACAGTAAATGCCTGAAAGGGTTCAGAGGTAAGGACAAGGGGAACAGGCAGAGGGGCATAGAAGATCCTTTTAGAAAGTAGTATTCCCATATTCTCAGAGTCTTCCTTTGTATTAACTTTTTTTTTTTTTTGAGATGAAGTCTTGCTCTCTTGCCCAGGCTGGAGTGCAGTGGTGCAGTCTCAGTTCACTACAGCCTCCACCTCTCGGGTTCAAACGATTCTCATGCCTCAGCCTCCTGAGTAGCTAGAATTACTAGTGCCTGCCATCTTGCTTGGCTTTCGTATTTTTAGTAGAGATGGGGTTCCACCATGTTGGCCAGACTAGTCTTGAACTCAAGTGAGGCCCTGGCCTCCCAAACTGCTGGAATGATAGGCACGGGCCACCATGCCCAACCCCTTTTATAGTAATTTTTAAACACTTATTGTATTAAATGAAGCCTGAATGATAATCATTTCATACCAGTACATAACAGCTACCCAGCTTATGTAGTTCCAGGATAGCACTGCTGGTGACATTCCCCATGCTACAGTGAGGTGCTAGGTCAGCATCACCCAGTGATGGGGCCTTAGGGACAGAGCTCAGTGTCTTGCCTGGAACGCTGAGTAAGTAGGTCAGTGGGAGGGCTAAGGCAGCGGGCCCCAGTCTCCTCCTTCACTGCACTGAACAGCCCACGAGATGTTTCAGCTGAGGGATAGGAAGCAAACAGGATTGAAAGGCTGAGGCAGCAGCATGAGTGAGAGGTTACTAGGCTCCGTTCCCTAGCCAGCCCTCAGTGCTTTACCCTTTATACCTCAGTCCTCCTGAGTGGGAGGCAGCACAGTGCTGGGCACATAGTAGTTGGCCTTCTGTATCCACGGGTTCCGAATCTGCAGATTCAACCATATGCAGGTGGAGAATACATACAGTTGCCCCCTGTATCTGTGAGTTTTGACACATGGGTGATTTAATGGAGGGAGATGTGAAACTGCAGATAAGGAGAGCTGATTTTATTGGACTCTGTGGTTGTGTTTTCATTAGTATTGAGGATCATCAGGCATGCTGCTCACTGTGATTCAGGAGACTTTCTCCTCTACTTTGGATATAGGGACTCATGGGAAGAGGCCTGGATTGTGATTGTTGCAGAGAAGTTCTGGTCGCTGTTGTTTTTAGTCATTGACTACCCATATCTTACACTCGATGCCACCTAGATGCTTTCATTAGTAGGTTAGATTTTCATGCTCTCTGCTAGTATGTCTGTGGTGGGCAATTACGGTTGCCTGCTGCACCTCCAGCTTGCCAAGGTCTAAGTGAAAAGTCCCCAAGTTCTCCTGTTCACCCTGGCTCTGTCATTTTATCACATAGTCTCAGTCACTCTGAACTCCATGTCGCTGCGGGAACCAGCCACCACAGTCCTAGCAGTAGTCAGAGCCAAAGAGTTCTCTGTTTTCCTGTTTGCCAGAG